AATGTTTTATGTTTGCGTTTTTTTAAATTATGTTTGTTTAAATGTAAAATATTAAGCAATGCAGTGTGCTGTTAATGGTTAACACAACATATGGCCATGAATCGGTTAATTACAATAAACCATGCTTAGACCCTGGTGAATCATCATCATCCTGAATGTTTGTCTGCTTTAAATGTCAGGTGTTGAAGAATGCTGAGAAATGACGAATGTTGCATTTACCTGGGGAAAAAGATAGTCCATAATCTCCTACTCCAGTTTATTTTAAATAATTACACTAATGCTTTTCAGTGATTTACACTAATTGCCTTAAGATAAGCAGATCACCCAGGATATAGAATCTGCACCTGTTACACCCGATCATTATTACTTGATGAGCACACCTGTGATGAAGATTTATATGATGTTTCAATCACTCTGATATAGTGAAAATTACTCGTGACTCAATCATGTGGCATTCGAAAATACACAGGACATTGTACTCTTGTAATAAAGACTGATGTATTATTTCTAGACAATGTGTACAGTGCACTTTACATCTGGACACCTGTAACTCGATCATATGGCATCTCAAATATACACAAACTATTGTACACCTTTAATACAGTGTAATATGATAGCTCTCACTTATACAATGCAATGTTCACGTATAACTCGATCATATGGCATCTCAAATATTCACAAAATATTGTAAACTGTAATATAGAATACTATGGTATCTGTCACTTGTACAATGCAATGTTCACGTATAACTCGATCATATGGCATCTCAAATATACACAAACTATTGTACACCTACAGAGTAATATGATATATCTCACTTATACAATGCAATGTTCACGTATAACTCAATCATATGGCATTTCAAATATACACAAACTATTGTACACCTTTAATACAGTGTAATATGATATCTCTCACTTATACAATGCAATGTTCACATATACCTCAATCATATGGCATCTCAAATATACACAAACTATTGTACACCTTTAATACAGTGTAATATGTGATATCTCACTTATACAATGCAATGTTCACATATACCTCAATCATATGGCATCTCAAATATACACAAACTATTGTACACCTTTAATACAGTGTAATATGATAGCTCTCACTTATACAATGCAATGTTCACGTATAACTCGATCATATGGCATCTCAAATATACACAAACTATTGTACACCTTTAATACAGTGTAATATGATAGCTCTCACTTATACAATGCAATGTTCACGTATAACTCGATCATATGGCATCTCAAATATTCACAAAATATTGTAAACTGTAATATAGAATACTATGGTATCTGTCACTTGCACAATGCAATGTTTGCCTGTAACACAGTCACGTGGCACTCCATTATCTGTATAATATATCTGTAAAAGGATAGGACAATTATAGGGTGTGTCATCTTATAATAGAGAAGTGATAGATACATGACGTTTACATTATTTAATTCTATGTTCTATTTGGTCCTGTAATGCACCAATGATGTGTATCTAGCACACACAATAGTTAAATCAGAGTATGCTGGTCACTCAGAGAATAACACCATCTGAACAAATTTAACATTTGTTCTAGTGAAATTCACATTTATAGAAACACTCTTGAATTTTGATAATACACCAACCCTAAACAGTGTCAGAAAGGACAGTTTGGCCCTGTGTTAGCGTGTAACCATTGTGCATGCCTATGTATAGGACAATTATGGAATATGAGGTTCTATAGAATCTGATGGCGCTATATAAATATTAACATAATAATAATAATAATATAGTAGACTATGATTGCACATCTCATCATTACCTGTCTCCACCTGGTGGTTTATATTCCTGATCATGTGATATAATTATACAATGATACAGTATCGGTGGTGCTTGATTTAGATTGAGGATTATTGTTATATCTGAGTACATTTAGTTCAGGATACTGTATTTTTCTCTCTCAACCTATTTATTTATCACTGATTCACTCCACTTTTGTGTTTGTTTGCATGTGGTCTAAATTTTGTTTTTTCTTATTATTTTTTACATTTGATGAAATTCACGGGTTAGGCCTGATCTGGGATATTTGGTAGGGTGACTCACCCATCAACCCCGTGCTAGGGAGTTTCCTCTAAGATAAATGCTGCACACAGCAAACTAAGGGTTCAATATTTGTTCTCATAAAAAGGTCAGAAAATTATAAATAAAGTCAATTTTTAACAAAATATTTGCCAGCAATTTCGCTAACATGATGTATCGAAAAAATACATTTACTAAAAAGTACCACCTGGTACTGTTGGCAATGGTAGGTGGACTTTGAGTGACACATTGTATTATTCACTGATTACAGTAGAACCATCTATACACAGTGATTGATTTGATGTAGAAAGCAGCTGTAAGAAGCATTTGGGTACAGAACATGGAGAGTTATTTTTTCGTCGATATGGTTATACTAAATGAATTTGTTGAGGTTACTATTGGGAGGTTCTTTTTTTAATAGAGGAGCTTAAGAGGGTGTATTAGAAATGTTTTGGATTTTATATAAGTATGAATGCGTTTTGACAGGTTTATTTTGTATTAAATTGTACTGGTTTGCAAACAGAAATACTTTAATTTATGTTGGGGGGCACATTGGCAAATTAAATGATGCTTGTGCCAGGGAGTATGTAACTGGCACAAACTTGCCCATTATAAAAAGACAGTTGGTTAAACAATATTTTTAGATCAGAGCCATTGTATATAGAAGGGGCGATGTATCAGTTAGGCATCGTACTACAAATTTTATAATCTATTTAACAAATCCTCTCCTCACTCTCTGCAGTTTTTCACTTTTAATTTATATTGTGTTCATTACATTTTTTTTTTTTACTATGTTTTCATTTAAGACGATGACATGTTTTAGTACGTGGTTTAGTAGTCAGTCAATTTTATCACCATGTGCACTGTGTGAAAAATGATATGGTTTGGCACAATAAAATGAAATTATTAAAAATATCAGCATTTCATACGTTTTTAGGGCAAGGACTCTGGCTCATAAATAAAAATGTTTACAAATAAGAAAATAAGCATTTACCTGTCCATCATAAAGTTGAATATTTTGTCTTTTAAAGAACATATGTTATGATAATATAGTGTCAGCTATGGTTATAAACTGATGACCACTAACATTGCTGATATAATGGAGTATAATACTGTGTATATGATTTACAAAAATAGCAAAATGTATAATGTAGGGATCAATGTAAATCTGGGTTATCAGAGTTCAAATCTATCACAAAATTATGGGTTTGAAGATTTTCCTTTGGTGTAATTACACGGATCAGTAAGTATTAAGATCCTACTGACCGCTCCCATTGAGCAGCAACCATATAAATACCTAGGCATCTCATAGCAAACCATATCCACTTGCTGAATTTTCTCTGAGTCCCCTATCACTGAACAAACATGGGGACAATGGGTCCAGTCCTCTGGACTCTCTCTGTTCTAACTCTGACCTTCCCGACTGAAACACAATCTAGAGGTAAGTGATATTGCCTGACAGATCCGTGACCACATTTGGAAGCTTAGTCATAGAGTTAAAATTTGGACACAAGAAGTGGATGTGGTCACATATGGTACATTCTACTCAACCTATTCAAATACTGAGTCGGTTCCATATTTGTTTTATATATCCTATCTGTCTGTTCACTGATTTAATTTTTATATTTCACTATTCCCTTTTAACCTACCTGTCTGTCATAAATGGCAAGCTGTATGAAGAAAGTTGTTAAAATAAGTTTGTATAACAAAACGATAAAGAGGATTTATTTTATTTAGAGACAGGTTGGTGAGTTGTCATTACAATAGATATGAAACTCATCGTTTACAAAACCTCAGCTTGTTGGGATGTTTGTTAATATTTATAGCCAGCCTTGGCACAATATTGGATTTGGAAGTTCATCAGCTATGTTGTTTTTTTATTTTCTGAAAGGACATACACCACAACCATCAAAGTTCAATGTCCTTGTTATAGTGCTATGTGTCTTTGGATGTCATCCTCTAGCTTTCTTTGATACTATTTTGTGGTGGTTTAACAATCCTTGGTCTTGCTCTGGTATCGAAAGACTGGCCCCTCTGGCTACAGAGGGGGCAGGCTTTAAATGCTAGGAAGAGCCTACAAAACAGTTTGTCAAATACCTGGGCAACATATCTCAAACACTCATAGAACTATAACCACGGCAGTGCATTCAAATTTTCATTCACCTCCCGTCAGTTTTCATATCCCTTATTTGAAAAGATTTGGAACCACACTTTATTACATCTAGGTAGTCTGCTCAGGAGGTCTGCATATAATTCTTCCATATTATAAACAGCATTCCAAAAATGACATTTTTAATGTATGTGTGAAAGCTCTTTTTCAATACCTTGAACAACTGCATTGGCTTAAAGGGACAGTCCGGATTCTCCTAAAGCACTCAAGCTTACTGAAATGCTTATGCGTGAAAGAGTGTGACTTATTTTTTTGTTTGTTTGTTCAAATTAGAAAAAGTGTAGATTTCAATAGAAATTTTCACTTTTATAAATTAACCTGGTTACACCCCCTGGATTTCAAGCAGGCAATAGGTACTGTTATTTCCTGGTTTGTTTAGCTCAGTGAAGCGCAACTCATTGCCCAGAGCACCTGCCTTGTAAAGACTTCTTATTGAGCTGCTTTGGGAATTTTGTGATTGGACAGTCACAGAAAATGTGGGCGGGGTTAGAAAGGGAGGGCTTACAAAGGCTTCAGACAAGAGATATGTTTGAGCTATAACCACCATGTAAAAATGCATAATTAAATGCACGCATGTTTTGTGTTTGGTCATTGGAGTGTCCTTTTAACTATGCTTGTCACATATAAACTTAAATTTAAATTTGTATTGTCAATATATATCATTTTCAACTTGAAACAAATCTATTTTATTAAACATAAGAAGGCACAATAAGGAACATTAAACAGCTTTCAATGACCTAAGATAGGGCCTCGTATTGCCCAGGACATAGTGAGTAGCTCAGGCTGGCTGGTAGGCAATAGCCTTATATCTACATCTATTTTTAATGTTTCTCTTTTGTATGACTTAAGCTTGTCACATTTGCATCTAACAAGTTAATTTTCAGCTTACGAGAAAAACATGTATCATTTGATAATCATCTGTGTCTAAAAGAAATGTTTTGGCCAATTTGTTTTCATTCAACATATACATTTCCTATTGTCAAATTTGTGTTATCTTAAAAGATTCTTAATAAAACCAACAATATCAGGAAAGTAACAAAGTACCTGGTAAAATAAATACTTTCACCTTAGGTATGAATCCGCCACACAATGACCAAGTCTGCAGCACATGGGGTAACTTCCACTACAAGAACTTTGATGGAGACATCTTTCAGTTCCCTGGCTCCTGCAACTACCTGTTTGCCTCCAACTGCAAAAATAACTATGAAGATTTCAATATTCAGATAAGACGAACTGCAGAGAATACCACCATTTCATATGTGATCATGAAGATTGAGGGACTTGTCATTGAAATGAAAAAAGGAAACGTCTCTGTGGGAGATGAGCAGTAAGTCTAGCATTGAAGGAACCACTGTTGTATTAAAGACTTCTAAGGCTCCACCTGGATTGCCAAAAAGAGGTCTCTTTATAGAAATCACCAGATTTGTTGAAAGGTTTTTTGTTTATTGGAAAATTAGATGGCATATCATAGCAGCACAAATTATTTAACTAAAATTATATAGACTCAATAAAAAAATGTGATAATGGCCTGACAAGGAAAAAAATACAGCAATCTCTGGTATATTGTGTCCCACTTAGAGATAGATAATATGTCCCCAAACCAGGTGGCATTATACACCAATATAATAATATAGAAATACAAATACTAGTTAGGAAATGCATGGGCATTTCTAGATACAGTAATTGCAATTTTGTAGATATTTTTTTAAAAGCCCTGGATGCTTTCTTTTGAAAATAACAAAACAAAAGAATATTCAAGAATAAAATTAATAGATTTGTGCAAAAATGTATTCCAGCCTGTACCAACAAGCTAAATGCCTTTTAATCTATATCCAGAGAAATCAATTAATCTGAGATTTACCTGTGTATTTAAAGAATAAGTGAATCTCTAACTAGTCGACTTATCCAGATATGGATTAAAATGCGTTTGCCAGAACCAATATTTTACAAAGGTCTAATAATTTGCTTGTATTTGAACAGGTTGTTGATCTGAAATCCGATAATCATTATGGAGTCAAGAATGATTTTTCCCCTTTTTTTGGGATAATTGTCCATCACTCCAGATTGGATTTTTGTCTTGTTCAGGATCAACAGCATAAAAATATATGTTTTAAACATTGAGCTTCATGCAGTGCAATCTTTTATTCAAAGTTATTATGTAAGTATGCTACTAAATCTACTACCTTTTGTATTTTCCAGAGTCACTCTTCCATACAGTCAGTTCGGGGTACAAATACAACAGAACAGTGTATATGTGAAGGTCACTGCTAAACTTGGACTGGTCATCATGTGGAATGAAGATGATGCCCTCATGGTGAGATGGAATGGGTTTTGCACCTTGAGTTCTTTGACACAAGGGTGTTTTAGCCCAAATTACTTGTTATTGATTAACCCACTACATCTAGTTTCCAATTAATGAACATCTACTCATGGGGTTATATATAAAAGCTGTCTGTTTTGAAAATGGGGAGAGTCACCAAAGCAATGTGACTGCTAGTTTGCCATGGTGACTCTCTCAATTTTCAGAACACAATGTTTTATACATGGCTTGCAACATTTCTCCCATCCCTACAAATATTCATAGTAATCTCTTATTTCTAGCTGGTCCTGCCCTCCAAATACAACGGCAGCACATGTGGGTTATGTGGAAATATGAATGGGTTGAAGCAAGATGAATTCATTATTAATGGTGAGTTTTCCATGTTTACATGTGCCAACAGTTAAGTTCGTGCTGACATTCAGCAAGATGAGCTAATTAGAGCTCTTTACCTATAATATCAGAGAAAACAAAATACAAAAAGTCGTTTGAAATTTCAATGGTGATATTTCTTTGTATTCTTGTAGATATTCCACTGACCCCTCTGCAATTTGGAAATCTTCAAAAACTGGATGGACCAACAGAACTATGTGAAGATATTAATCCAGGTGCCCCTAAAAACTGCAGTGACCTGGTAAGATGTCAACATTATAATGCCCATTATCTTCTTGGGTCAGTAGTGAGCTTTAAATTCATAATACATTTCCATAAATCTTTTGGCAATTAGAGAGCACTATTTCAAGCCAGTTCCAGTCAGCAATGTGTCCTGACTGCGTCATCTAATTAATTGGAAGGTAGACAACAAAATAGGACAGCAAGAGAACAGCCAAGTTGCGAGTTTTGAGAGAGTTACACCATATTAGCTATTGTCAAAATTATGGGATTCAGTTTTCGATTCACTACAGTTCGTTGTTTAGTGGATAAATGCATGTTAAAATATGCATTTTTTTTTCAATCAGCACAAGTTTTCTTCTTCCTTGTAAATGTGGGGCTTGGCTGTGGGTGACCAGGGACTCTCATTTAGTTTAACACTGCTCAAAGATGGTTTAACACTGAGTGGTGGGACAGCACTAGAGGACTACATGAACTATAACCAATTTAATGGGATGAAATGGTTATAGTGCATACAGTATTTCTTTTTAAAAATGCAACATATACTTAAACAATAATATTTAAATACCAAAGTAGTTAAAATATCCAATTGCTGAAACTTCAGTTGTCAATTAAAGATAGAAAATATAAATAAAATAAAAGAGGGATGGACGGGGACTCTCCTTTTCTGTAGATTAGTAAAGTAATAGTTTCTACTAAATAAGAAATATGCTATTTCTATTTTTTTATTTTTAATTGTGACTATTTTTTAAAAAATGAATTGAAAATAACCAAAATGTTTTAACGACACAAAGATTTGACAAATGAAAGGGTGCTAGAGTTCTATTACCAGAGTGGCCAAAGTCTATAGCACATCTCCCTCCATCTTGACAGGAAACAGGAAATGTTTTAATTCATGTCTGAAGCATTTCATTTATGTCCTATATCAATATTCTACTCTTAATCCCACAAGCTACTATGTTATAAAGACATATTCTATTTTATAATAGAATAAAAGAGTAATCATCAAATCTCGCTCCAACAGCAAGAAACATGCTTTAGAATGCTCACCAGTCCAGCCTTCATTGACTGTAACCAACGACTCCCAGTAGATCCATATGTGGCTTCCTGCATGTTGGATCTGTGCAGCTGCACAACTTCTTTTGATGCCTCCTGTTTCTGTGACACTCTGGCTGAGTACTCACGTCAGTGCGCCCATGCTGGTGGCAGACCCCAAAATTGGCGAAAGAATACTGTTTGTGGTAAATACCCTCTGACAGCTAGTACAGCTGATAACATATTTATTGGAAGTGTGAAAATTGATGACTTTGCATTCTCCATTAATTAATGATGTTTTTTTTTTTATTTTGGTAGGAGCCAAATGTCCATTGAATATGGAATATATGGAATGTGGGTCACCGTGTACGGACACCTGCTCTAATCCTGACAGGGCACTGGTTTGTGAAGAACATTGTATCGATGGATGCTTTTGTCCTCCAGGTAACCTACCTATTCATCTGAAAATAGAACCAAATAGGGGTTATCTTTAACTTTAAGAAAATATAATTCTACATTATATAGTTTAAGGAAAAGAATTAAGGAAGAAATACTGTGATCCCTTGTTTAAGTCTTCTGATTAAATATTCATTCTTTATGTTTGATCCACAAGTAATATATCATTTTCTTAAAGGAACTGTATTGGATGATGTTGACAACAGAGGATGTGTCCCACAAAGTGAATGCTCTTGTACACATAACAACCAGAAGTACGCACCAGGAGAATCCTACAGCACCAACTGCCGCACCTGGTAAGTAGCAAATTCCATTTGCCCAATATTTTCGTCTTACGTTATTTCTCTCTGTCTTGATGTATCCCTGTTACAGCCTCGCAGCCACCATTATAAGTAATTTATCCCTCAGCTGTCCTTCGATCAACATATTATGCATTCCTCCCAAATCCAATCTTGTTAACATTAGCAGGTTGTGTTTTATCTTGTCTTCCTGCTTTTGAAAGTCTTGCTTTTCCTACTACTTTGAGATATGTACAGGATGGCATTTCATTATATGATCCCATACTTCCTCTGATGTTTTATTGTTGATGTCAGTGCATTTTTTCTATATCAGTACCTGTACAGGAGGTCAGTGGAGCTGCACAGACTTTGACTGTCCTGGACATTGTTCTCTGGAAGGAGGTTCTCATTTCAACACCTATGATGGAGGTCACTTCACCTTCCATGGGGACTGTAGTTATATATTTACTAAGGTGAGAATTTTCAACTCATAAATTGCCAAGACCCTGACAGAGAAGGAAGAAGACCACCACCCATTATTAACTTTGACACTTTGACATGTTTTCTTATCAGGACTGTGACACAAACACATTCACTGTCCTGGCCGATTTGCGGAGATGTGGTGTCACTGACACAGAGACCTGCCTGAAGAGCATTACCCTGTCTCTGGAAAATGGAACCACTGTGAGTCAAAAGTCACTTTATTAACTATAACAGAATTGTAAGATAAGATTGATGTATTTAATAAGAAAAATTTAAATACTGAGCATCTCTCTATATTGTTATAGTTTTCTGTATCTCTTTTTTTAATAGGTTGTCACTGTAAAATCAACTGGTACAGTTCTCCTGAATGGCATCTATGCTCAATTACCACTGGCTACAGGTACAGTACTATATAATTATATACAGTATTAGTATAAATGATATATAAATACTATATAATAAAGGAAGATGAAAATACAAATCAACAAATGAATAATTAGCATTGGTATTGGGTATTTATCTTAGCTTGAATGTTACAGTTCCATAGTTCTTTATATGATTAAAAAGTCTTCCCCAGGATAAAGAGGGGGTAGGTGAACTTGGAAACCCTAGCAAAGAATGAAACATTGTAAAAGGTACAGGCAATGATTAGCAAATGGCCCTAAAGCAGGGTGGTCTGACTTTGGCCAATCAGCTTTTGTCTGCTTTTTTGTGTCATAATTGCCTTTATACCTTTATTATAATGAGATGTCCATTCCTAATTTACAGATGAAACAAGGACATGTACAGTGTTTCAGTTCTGGAGGGTAGTACTTAACTAATTGTAATAATTAGATTGACCTATTAACCTGTTGCCAAATCATTTCTAGCTTTCAAAGAAACAGACATGATTACATATTTTCTGCATAAGAAACTCTAACTTCTTAGTTCATAACCTTATTTAACACTAAAGTAACTTGGTTAGTGCTTATATAGTGCTGGTAGTGTGCTTGGTTCTGCGCTGAACGTCACAGTTACTACTCATTGCTACATTTTTCTCATTATCCAATTATCACATTTTGTTTTTCAGAAAGCGTTATTGTGTTCCAGCCATCCTCATTCTACCTGATTATTCACAGCATTAATGGCTTACAGATTGAAGTTCAATTGGTCCCACTAATGCAGATCTTCGTCACTCTGGATCATAACTTTCTCGGTGCAACATGCGGTAAATAAATACTCCTACCCTTAGAGATATATGACTAGAATAAGCGATGCATCTTCCTAATTGTAATTATCTCTAAGCATTTCACAGGAACACTTAAGGCCTCCTGATACTTTGCGGCATCAAGATCTTGTAACAAATGTAGAATACTCATAGACATGTCATCAATTTCCACTTGAATAAAAGAGAGGGCTACAAAGTCTATTAGATTAACTTTGTAGAGGTAATAAGCCATAGATACCATGTAACGTCAAAAACATGAACTTTAAAGGGACACAGAGAACGTGTAGCTTTAACATATTTAGCAATTTGTATTTACTGGCCTTCTATTATTATAATGCAAAATAAAATAATAAGCACTTCTTTTGTTTTTGATGATAGGTCTCTGCGGAAATTTTAACAATATTCGTACAGATGATTTTCGATCTCTAAGTGGTGTATTGGAAGGTACAGCTGCAGCATTTGCCAACACATGGAAGAGTCAAGCAGATTGTGACGATATAAAGGACAGCTATGAAGATCCATGTACACTCAGCATTGCAAATGGTACGGAGGCTTTCAGATCAATTATCGTGCATTGACCTAGGCTCACTGAGAAATGCTGCAAGACGCATTGTCTTTATAAACTGCATTAGTGTATGACAATTCATCATGTTACAGAAACTTACCGTTTTCACAATACACTTTTTTCACAACCCCTTTTGTTTCACTTAAGTATTTTAGAAGTATTGATTTTATTCATTCCCAATTCCCGTTTACTGAAACACTTCCTTTCCACTAGAACTAAGAAACCAAAAATGTTTTTCATTTTTTCTGCAAATAGAAAAAGTAAAGATTATTGTGTCTTATTTATTCATACTTAACATGTTTACATATCTGTAAATATATTGTGTTGCCATTTAAATATGTTCAACACATACTGTCTGCCATTTTTTCTAACAGAGAAGTATGCTCGCTACTGGTGCTCCTTGCTCTTAGACCCCAAAGGACCCTTTTCTCCCTGCCACGACACAGTGAACCCAAAGGTCTATGTAAAGGTGGGTGACATATCCTTTTTCTGCCACTGAATAATAATGAATAAGGAACTTGAACTTAAACTTAACTCAATTGGATATGTGGTATCTCTGATGTACGTTTAAATAATTTCTCTTTGTAACACTGAGCACTGTATTGTTCTGTATTTTCTACACAGAATTGTATTTTTGACAGCTGTAATTATGAGAAGAGTGACGACAGTGTCTGCGCAGCTTTTTCATCCTATGTCCGAGCATGTGCTGCTGAGGGGATCACATTGGTTGAGTGGAGAGGTCAAATCTGTGGTGAGTTATAGGGTTATTTCCATAATTTTCCACAGCACTTACACGATACAGGAAATTGTGCATCTAAAGTACATGATACATATCACTGCTCACAGATCCCTATTTTACTGTATAAATGCATTTGTTGAGAAATCTTCATATTGCAGGATTCCTTAATTTCATTTTATGCGATTCTTGCTTCCTCAATACATTTTTATCCCCAACCATAACACATCTATAGATGGCACTTTGAGTGTGTTCATTGTAATGCCCTAACTGATTTCTTCACCTGTAAAAATGTGCTCATTGAGGTTTTTTTTACATAGCTACTTTTATTTCAAATAGTTTTAAGTTGCTGATCCACCAGTTTTAAGTTTGACGCTGAGAGACATATCTCAGAGGCAACCATGAAACAATTTAGCTGATACATTTTAGTAAGTTGACCATTGTTAGCCACTGTTGCAAGCAGAACCTGAATATCTATATTTCCTTGTAGATAAATATACTCAGAATTGTCCCAAGAACTCTACCTACCAGTACACTATAAGCTCTTGCCAGAAAACTTGTCGCTCGCTTAGTGAACCTGACCCAACTTGTGCTGTCAAGTACAATCCCCTGGACGGCTGTGGGTGTCCCGATGGAACATTTTTAGATGAAAGTGGAACCTGTGTATCGGCCAAAGATTGTCCCTGCTTCTACAAGGGATCAGCAATGCCTGCTGGAGAGGTCATCTTTGACAATGGAGCCATGTGGTAAGCAACAGAACAGTTTTAAAATGAATAAGCTAATAATAAAAAAAGGTCAATAGATGCATTTTTACATGATTTGGCGTCCATGGCTGGGTCATGGGGAATAGGTATATGTGGAAGAGCTTTTATACCGGTATGTTATTCCTAACTAAGTGTATGACTTGTACTACCTCTGCAAACTCCCTTCTAGTAGGGCTTTTTATTAACCCTTTCTTTTTTAAAGTAAAATGTCTCAGCTCTGATACCATTGCTGATGTTGTTGAGTTTTGTTATACATTGTCAATTTACATAAAGATTTTAGAAAGGTCAGTGTGACCTGCAACAGCTCCTAGATGTCACAATAACTCAATTACAAAACTATGCTGTTCACCTGATCTCAAGTTCTTTGTAAGTTCAAAAGAAAAGGTTATGACTGGTTAAGATGAGTCTTGGTTAACCTGCTATATACAAGAACATAAACGCTACCCTCTTTTGTATCTGTATAGTTTTCCCTACCATCTCCAATAGAGAGTGTTCTGATTATTGAGAACATGCTGTGTCTTTGGCTTTAACCAAATTCATTTTGTTTGACTTAATTACAGCACATGTCAAGGTGGCAGACTGAACTGTGCTGGGAGTGCACCAAGTTTGTATAAAGGTAATTAAAAATGCATATTGTATAGGGCACGCACTACAGAGCAACATTCAGAATTGTTCCAGTTCATATTTGTTTTTTGTAATTTGTGTTTTATGTAACCCAGGTAAAACACATATAACACTTTTGCAGTATTACAAAAATATAGTTTCAGAAGTCATTTTAGACATTTTAAAGAATCAAGACAGAGTCCATGACAAAAAGAAAAATTCACTTTAAAAATGTTGACATGAAAACGCTGATGTTTAAATAGCAAACATCATAAAGCAAGGTATAAAAAACTGCATTCAAAAGGTCAGAGCGCCACCACAAGACAATTAATATTGATCTGTGTCTGTTATGACACACAGCAGAGTTCCAGCCAGCCCTCATGAACAGCAGAATAATCCAACTCAAAGCCTCTCTAACTCTAATTCTAACCCGAAGTGTAACCCTAGTGGTGCAGTAATGATAATTTGCTCTTTTCAACACAGGGCCAAATTAGAGTCTCTTAACAGCATTAACGGACACTATAGTTACCAGAACCACTACAGCTTAATGTACAATATACAGCTTAATGTACGTTTACAGCTTAATGTACAATATACAGCTTAATGTACGTTTACAGCTTAATTTACGATATACAGCTTAATGTACGTTTACAGCTTAATGTATAGTATACAGCCTTATATATAGTATACAGCTTAATGTATAGTATACAGCTAAATGTACAGTATATAGCTTAATGTACGGTATACAGCTTAATGTACAGTATACCGCTTATTGTATAGTATACAGCCTAATATATAGTATACAGCTTATTGTACAGTATATAGCTTAATGTACGGTATACAGCTTAATGTACAGTATACAGCTTATTGTATAGTATACAGCCTAATATATAGTATACAGCTTATTGTACAGTATATAGCTTAATGTACGGTATACAGCTTAATGTACAGTATACAGCTTATTGTATAGTACACAGCTTAATGTACGATATATAGCTTAATGAACATTTACAGCATAATACAGGATATACAGCTTAATGAACGTTTACAGCCTAATGTACGATATACAACTTATTGTATAGTATACAGCTTAATGCACAGTTACTCAGACGGCCACTAGAGGTGTTTTCTGGGCCAGTGCTGCTCAGTGTGCTGTGCATGGAAACACTGAACACTCCCCATAGTGATGCATTTATTTAAAACTTGTCTACGAGGAGATGCTGATTGGTGCAGTGTGGCCGTTTGCTGCGCATGTTTAATAGCCTCCCAAAACATTCCAATGGGAAAGCATTAGATTAGATTTATTTCAGCCATGGATGTGGAATCAGCCGTGGCGAGACCACCGCAGAATTGGGAAAAAGGCGAGTAAAACCACCTTTTTACGACACAGAATGGGGACCAGTATTCTAAACGGCCACTTCAGCGCTATAGTGTCAGGAATACATGTTTGTTAAGCTTTTAACACACTCCTTAGCCACTACTGAGTGAGAGATTTCCTAATTACACCAAAACAATATAATTCTCTTCCTTTATTACAGAATGCCCTGATAACATGGTATATGTTGATTGTGCCAATGTATCAATGGGAGTCGAGTGTCAGAAAACATGTCAGACAGTAGACTTGGATTGTGTAAGTAAATATGCTTCATATATGAATATAATATTTATTAAGGAACAGCAAAATAAAAACAAACACTGTTTTAGCGTTAACATATGTTTAAAAATAATGCATAAATAAAAACATTAACTTAACTGCCGTCTCACCCTCCTTCCGGTGGGAAATGTCAGAGTCAGAAATCTGATTTCATGACTCAGAAAGGCAACACATCAGATTGTGCTGATCCTACTGAATATAGACGGTTAGGATGTATTAGAAGTTTGTGAGTTGGGTAGATATTAGTACTTGGAGAATAGACATTTAGCCTGAGACCAGGCCGAAAACTTTTTGGGTTAAACTTGACAAGTTCTCAGCTATGCTCATCCATGCTAAATGTTTAGAACAAATACATTGGTGTAGGCAGAAATGACCGGGGGTGGATCCCAACCTGGGAACTGTCTCTCCGCGAGGTAGACATCTGAGAGGCATGACATTAAATGAATTAAAAACATTTCCAGTCTTTGCCAGTAAGTGTCACTCACACATCTTCCAACATGGAGTAGATGATATCAATGTATTTTATCATTCGATATAAACTCATGTTAAACTATTTTTTTTTATCTATAGTTCAGCATTCAATGTGCCTCTGGCTGTGTCTGTACTGATGGGCTGGTGCTCAATAACAATGGCAGCTGTGTGCCTAAAACAGAGTGTCCTTGTTTGTACAATGGTGAAGTTTACCATAGTGGGGAGATTATTCAACAAGACTGTAATACATGGTAAGCCACAAGATAATATGCATCCCTTATATTACAACAGTTGCAATATGCAGAATGACCAGTAGACATCATCATTACACCAACATTTTATCTAAACAACAACATACACAAAGGAGGAGTAGTACGAGATGAATATCACTCCAAAAGGAACATAATGACCTTTGAGAATTGATTTGTTTTGTCTTTTTAAACAAAATTATAATTTAGCATTATTTTTGCTATTACATACTCCTGGAATAATTGTCGTAAAAAAACTGGAAAAAAAAAACTTTTTAAATATTTTTAAGAAAATATAAATGTTATGGATTTGCTGTTTCAGTACCTGTAAAAGCAGGAAGTGGCAGTGTACAAAGAAAGAATGCCATAGGACCTGTGTGGTATATGGGGAAGGACACTACGTAACCTTTGATGGAAAACGATTCGATTTCAGCGGTGACTGTGAATATACTGTGACTCAGGTATGAAAAAAGACGAATATACCATCATGATCTGAGTATATAACCAGGACACAGTTGAGTTCCCGTAGAACAATATGCACCAGGCAGATGTTAGAAACACAGCCTCTCTAGTATTTTACGCAATTTATTTTTTGTTACTGACTTGCATTGCGGGCAAAATTCTTTTTCATTGTAGAATGCCATTTTCCTATGTAACAATTCATTTCTAAAACAAAAATTAAAAAACAACAACAGAGACAGAGTCCATTTCTTTACAGCACCACATTTAATGTTGATATTTTATGGCATTTTCATTTCTTCCTCCTTTATCTTTATTTTTCTTTTGAAATGACTGATAATACATGACGTGGTATGGCCATTCTCTTCCAGGATTTTTGTGCTTCTAACTCAGGAAATGGGACATTCCGTGTGATCACCGAGAATATTCCTTGTGGAACAACTGGGGCTACCTGTTCAAAGGCCATCAAAGTGTTTTTGGGAGTATGTACAAAGAAATTAAGGGCTCTTTACAATGCTTAATGTAAAAAATTAAAAAAAAAAAAGTTCATACAACTTAGTGTCCCTCCATATAACTGTTTGAAAAGCCTCTTCCTATCGTCCAATATAAACTCTCATTGTCACACCATTGATTGCTCTCATTAACTGATTTTAAAAACTCTCTTGTCTCAATAAATCGCGCTACTGCATGGTGCAATCTTCGTATTTTATCGTATAACTCAAGATTAATGTTCCCTTAAATTGTTATACAGTTCCTTGCAACTGTTCTCTAAGCCGCATTTCTTTCTTTACAGAACTATATTTCTATAACTATAAATATAAATGTTCTGATCAAACTCAACTTATTGCTCCATATAGTTTGTCCTCCCACATGTTGTATCAAACAAGTGTTGTTTGCTACAAATAATTGCTCTTCTTAAGGCCACAGCTCCATGTAACCACTCTGTATAATTTATTGCATTGCTCTATACGTCCTTTCCTTCTAATCCCTCTTACAACTACATATCCTTAGTATACATCCTGATATAAGCATTTCATATAACGTCATGATTATGAATATCAACTGACTAATATTCCTTCAACTCTTCCTTTTGAAAAGTGACCCACCTCCTTGTAACCTACCTTCTCCCTAAATGTACACAAATCAACATTTTTACTGATACCTTCATGTTATAACCTAGAGACTTTCAATGATACCCAATCAGCCATATTTATATGGGATTATATCTGCTCATTGGGTATATATGGCCATTTTTTGTAACACAATAAATGTATCTTTAACGATGGCAACATCCATTCCATGTTCACCATTTGACTTTTATATGTAATAATATTTCAGAACTTTGAGCTGAAGCTGAGCGAAGGAGTCTTTGAAGTTGTGGAGAGAGACAGTGGAAGTGATGTTCCTTACCAAATCAGACAGATGGGGATCTACTTTGTAATCGAGGCAAAGAATGGACTCATTCTCATGTGGGACAAAAAAACTAGTATCTTAATTAAACTCAGCCCTGAATTCAAGGTGAGTAGCAATACAATTCCATCTGCCCCTCATTACATTTTTGTACATGATTTTCAATACAATTCCAACTACACCTATTGGGGAGACCAAAGCTCTCTGCAGGGTTTCAAATCACCGCAGACCATTGCTAAGTAAATTTGCTATGCTCTATACGGGTAATACTATTCATACTATTTGATAGATTTGGGTAGCAAAAAGTGAAAATACATAATAGAAGAGAGGACGTTGAGGGAATCATAGCTCATAATGAATGAACGTTAAATAGCAAATTCTACAGTGACACATAAAGCCCAAGATAAATGGTCACAAAAACAGATATTCAAATAGCTGAATTGTTTTCATTGTAAAAAATAATCTTACCATCCTATGCATTGTTTTCTACCAGGGACAAGTTTGTGGTCTCTGTGGCAACTATGATGGCAGTGTGTCCAATGATTTTACCACAAGGAGTCTGTCAGTCGTGGTCAATGTACAAGAGTTTGGGAACAGCTGGAAGGCATCACCCATCTGCCCAGATGCACAACCTCTAAGAGACCCTTGTATTACAAATCCATACAGAAGGACCTGGTCACAGAAACATTGCAGCATTATTATGAGCCCTGTCTTCTCTAAATGTCATGGCAAGGTTAGTCACCAAAACACACAAAACATACAGAGTTTAAAGCACTTTACAGAGCAATTAGCAATTATTCAGACATTGCTGAGATTAAACAACGTGATGGCGTACAATCAAAGTAGTCTGATAATGGCATCTCATCAGGTATGGGTACACTGTTGGGCCAGAGGGGAAAAAGTGGATGAACTGGGGAGTAATGGGTTCAGATGTGTTGGATTGAGATGGAAAGCTATAGAAAACACTATTTGAGGTTCAGGTACAGGTTTACGTGAAAGGAACCCTCATATTCTTTTATTTATTTATTTTTAATTAGATGTACTCTTTTCATTTAGATCATGGGCCCCAGCTTTGGTTTTAACTAAAATAAACATTAAAAGTACCTTAAACTTAGCTGAAATCCAGTGCTGGGAAAGGTTTGTCATAGTAGACACGCAGTCATCAGTACTAAAATATGTATTGCCAAGTGGACATGTGCTCATTAGGGTGTAGTGGCTTTGGTGCCCACCTGTGTAGGAGGTTTTTAACAGATTCTTAAAAGAAATAATGGAAAGAGAGGTGCCTACTTGTATATAACCAGGAGAATTGTTTTTTCACAAAAGCCTTTCCAGGGCACCAACAGCATGTTCTATGCTCGTAAAATAGTTTTTATTATATTAATTTTCCAGGTTGATCCCAGCCCATTCAATGAAGCATGTGTCCAAGACACTTGTGCTTGTGACTCAGGAGGAGATTGCGAGTGTTATTGTACAGCTGTAGCAGCTTATGCTGCAGCCTGTAATGAAGCTGGAATCTGTGTTGCATGGAGGAGCCCCGACATTTGCCGTAAGTTACACCCCAAAAATGTTCCAACACCCCAAACTATGGTTATCACTAGAAAATAACATTTTATGGGAAGTAATATCTATATGAGATGGACGGATACGATGTAAAGGAATAGTATGTTGAAAAATATATATCAGTTTATAAAGTTAGAGTGTTCTTAATTTACTTCAAATTAGATTTAAATGTAAAAAAGGTACTAAAAGCTATAAAATGTACTTCTATTCCAGGGCCAGGACAGCTCCTTGCTGCAGCCTGATTTTCAGAGAATGAAGTCATTAATATACAAAATAGAATAGGGGATGATCTGCTAAATATAGATGAAATGGAAAAACATAGCCTATGTTTGCATATCAATGAAGTCATTAATTCTGATGACTCTTGCCCAGTCAGATGCTTTTCATAGAGAATCATTGACGACACATGGCAAATGCTCAGTCATCGCTGCTCTCTGCCAATTCAATGCTTCTCTATAATTTTAGCCACAATAAGACTTAACTCTAGTGGCTATCTATCTGACATGTTTTAGGCTAAATGTAAACTGTTCTAGCAAACCACTACATTGTCAGACAAGCAGGCGGCATCTGTGTGCCCAAAACACTATATTAAGATGTACTGGTTTTGATGCTTAGAACGTCCCTTTAACAAACCAACAAGGAATCAGCTGATTGGCGATAGTGATAAATTAATTTAATATTTTCACAAAATATTCAAAGACCAGTTTGTATCTTTGTTATTGCAATTGGCTTGCTCCCTATAAAATTATTTTTACAAGAGAAAGAAGGAGCTAGAAAGAGAGAGGAATGGAATAAATTTTGACCAGAAACCTTTTCAGTCCACCAGGATATCTCTCATCTAACTCTCGGAGTAATGACATGGCTATGGTCCTTTTTCTCTGAGAGTATTTCAACGTTTAGAATTTTGAGCTCTCGGTACCTAGAGGAATTTAATTTACTTTTGACCTTTTTTCCAGCCCTTTTCTGTGATTACTACAACCCGGAAGGAGAATGTGAGTGGCATTACAAACCATGCGGATCTCCATGCATGAAGACTTGCAGAAATCCAAGTGGGAATTGCATGAACCAACTGCCAGGTTTAGAAGGTATCTAAAAATCTATGTGAGAGTTGTCACAAATGACACGGTATGTGTTGATTGCAGTGATCTTTTTATGTGATCCTTTTGTATTTTAACTACTTTCACAGGCTGTTATCCAAAATGCCCTAATTCCCGTCCTTTCTTCGATGAGGATATCATGAAGTGTGTTGCACAGGCAAACTGTGGATGCTATGATGATGATGGCAAACGCTATAACGTTGGAGACATGGTGCCTTCATACAAAAACTGTGAATCTTGGTAAATCTTCCTCTCATATATATTTATTGATGATTACCATTGCCACAATTGATCCCATTCAAACAAGCATGAGTTATCTGAGAAGTACAAAATCAATTTTATACCAAGCATCAACTTTAACAATTCTCCAAAGCTTGGAGACGTTCTTGGATGTTCTTCAACCTTACTGCAGGGAAAGGGATGTATGTGGTGGAGGCAGAGCTACGTTAGGCTTAGGGTGACACAGAGGAAACTTGACACCCGTCACCAACATACTACACATGCTGACAATGTATTTGAGGCACAGATTTCACCAAGCAAACCTGGAACTTTTGTTTTGGGCTTGCACATGCTAATGTTCTCTTCATCTGCACAGTCAGAAAATATAATAGAGTGGTTATTTTTTGCTTATTACATTTTACTTTTTAAAAGTTGATATGTAGCACTTATGATTTGTGATACCTATTAATACAGAATAATTTCTTAATTTATTTTTTCTTTGTTAGCATCTGTACCAGAAAAGGACGTCGCTGTCAGATGAACCTCAGAGGTGGGTTTCATATTCTTATTTTAATGGGCCACAAATAGTTTTCACATCTGCCTGCCTTGTTCCTTTTATTTTCTCTTAATATATTTTTGGAATATAAATCAATGAAAGTATCTATTTTTTTTTTAATAAACATAAACATATATTCAGAGTAACATTGCCTCTTACATTAGTCAATCGAAATAAGTCATTCTACCAACTTATTTATTTATTCCCATTTCTTTCAATCATTTCTTCTTCAGACACTAACAAAGTTGATGTTAATTTTAGAAACATATTTGTAATGAATAATTGCTCAGAATATTTTTCCTTCAATATTTAATATTGCACAAACATCTTCCTTTTTGTAATATAACTTTATACTGATATTTACAGCATGCTATTGCTATTATGGAAACATGAAATATGAGTATGGAGAGATCATCTATAATACCACTGATGGAATTGGAGGGTGCATAACAGCCAGATGTTCAACTAATGGAACTATAGACAGAAATGTGTACCCATGTGAAACAACTACCACAACACCCGCCACAACTTTCAAGTTTGACACAACTACACCATCTGCTGTAAATCTGTCCACCTCAGGTAGTTTTGAATTTGTCTGTATTTTTTACATAAGGAAGAACACATATAACTTTATATCCTAAATATAAAATAACTTTTTTTCTCAATAATGTGCATGTTTAGACATTTATAACACACCACTACTTATCTAAATTCTTTTAGACATTATTTCCTATTAAATGTTTGTCACAAAATCTTATCAATCTTTACCCAAAGTAATGTTTAGTTTCCCTAAATTGTCATAAACGCCATGTCCTCTTCAGTGGTTCTGTTTGTAATATCAAATAAACACATTAGATAACAACTGCTCTTCTGTTTATAAGTAATTTTTTTTACATTTAATTAATTCCTACAGAGCCAATGTCACCAACCTCAGTATCATGCCTAGAAGAAGTCTGCAAATGGTCAATGTGGTACGATGTCAGCTGCCCAACATATGGTCTAACGAACGGTGATAATGAAACATTTGACAAGATCAGAGAGAATGGGCACTCGGTTTGTAAGGTTCCATCCCAGGTGGAGTGTCGAGCAACGAAGTTCCCCAATATATTAGTTGAGGACTTAGGTCAGATCATTCACTGCAATAGATCCAGTGGACTTTTGTGTTTTAACAATGAGCAATTCTCTCAGCTCTGCTTTAATTATGAAATTCGTATCTTATGCTGTAGCTACGTGCCCTGTGAAGAGTCGACAAACACACCCACTTCTGCTCCTTTGACCTCTACACCATCTTTGTCAGTGACATCTACACCTCCAAATACTATGATGAGTTCAACTGTGTCACCAAAATATTTTTCCAGCACAGTTTTGCAACAAACCCTAGAGTCAACTTCCACCATAAGTAATACAAAATCATGGACAACAAATGAAAATTCAATAACAGAAAGCACAAAGGTCTCACAACACTCATCCACTGCTGTGCCACATACAACTGTGACAACTAAATCTCCTGAAGAAACATCTAGATTGACAAGAACTACAGAAAACATGGTCACATCTAAAAATGTAACAGAAAGGCAAAGTAGTACAGCATCAACTCTTGAAAAAGATCACACAACTGAAGTTACAACAGCAAAGTCCCCACAACACTCATCCACTTCTGTGCCATTTACCATTTCTCCTAAAACACCATGCAAACAGACATGCACATGGACTGGTTGGCATGATAATTACTACCCCACTAGTGAGACTTCTGATGGAGATTTTGAGACACTTGAAAATATTGCAGCTGTTAATAGTGATATTTGCAAAATGCCAGATAATATTGCATGTAGAGCTGAAAGGTTCCCAGATATAGACTTTAGAGATCTTGGACAAGTTGTTACCTGCAATGTCACCTATGGTCTTATCTGCCATAACAAAGATCAAAGTAGTAACTTCCCCCTTTGTTATAACTATCAAGTAAATTTTCTCTGTTGCTCTATGAAGGACTGTGAATCATCTACCATTTCTTCCCATGCAACAACAGTTATGGAGACAACCACAGTTCTTGCAAAAACATCTCAATTGACAAGAACTACAGAAAACATGATCACATCTGAAAATATAACAGAGAGAGAGAGTAGTACAGCATCATCTCCTAAAGGAGATCAGACAAGTGAAATTACAACAACTAAATTTAACACCATGGAAACATCTTCAACTCCTGGAGTTTCCAGGATTACATGTGAACCTATATGTCAATGGTCACAGTGGTATGATGAAAGTTTTCCAGATGATGAAACGTATGGGGACTATGAAACATATGAAAATATCAGAAATGCTGGGTATAATCTATGTGATGAGCCATCAGATATCCAGTGTAGAATTGTTAATTTTCCAGATATTACTTTAGATGAATCACAGCAGACTGTACATTGCAATGTTAGCAATGGACTTGTTTGTATGAATGAGGAACAGACTGGCTCATTCCCATTTTGCTACAACTATGAAATTAGAGTTCTCTGCTGTTCTGGGTGTGCATCTACAACACTATTCTCTTCAACACCTACATATCCAACCAGCAAAAGTGCAAGTGAGGTTACATCCACAAAGGAAGTAGTCTCAATATTTACTACAGGAATTCATAAGTTAACAACTGAAACACTCAAAGAAGAAGAGACTACCTTTCAGCCGATTTCTGTAAAGACGACTGCTTCAAGTGCATCAGCCACAACACCAGAAGATGTGCAGTTCCATACACCATTATCACTAAAAACAACAATGGTTGAAACAGCAGCAAATGAATATACAGGTACACATGAAAGTACTTCTGGACTTAGCACAGCTTTCAAAAAATCAACAACAAAGCCTGAAGAAGAAGAAACTACTTCTCAGAAACCGATTACCCAAAAGACAACAAGGTTTACAACAGCCTCTGGTGAAATAACATCTACCAGAAAGTCTTCAACTGCATCTGGTGAAGTGACATCTGCTTATAAAACATCCAGACTGAGCACAGCTTTCCAAAAATCAACAACAAAGCCTGAGGAAGAAGAATCTACTTCTCTGAAACCAATTACCTACAAGACAACAAGGTTTACAACAGCCTCTGGTGAAATAAGTTCTACAAGAAAATCTTCAACTGCATCTGGTGAACTGACATCTGCTTACAAAACATCCAGACTGAGCACAGCTTTCCAAAAATCAACAGGAAAGCCTGAAGAAGAAGGAACTACTTCTCAGAAACCAATTACCCAAAAAACAACAAAGTTTTCAACATCCGCTGGTGAAGTAAGTTCTACAAGAAAATCTTCAACTGCATCTGGTGAAGTGACATCTGCTTACAAAACATCCAGACTGAGCACAGCTTTCCAAAAATCATCCACAAAACCAGAAGAAGAAGGAACTACTTCTCAGAAACCAATTACCCAAAAAACAACAAAGTTTTCAACATCCGCTGGTGAAGTAAGTTCTACAAGAAAATCTTCAACTGCATCTGGTGAAGTGACATCTGCTTACAAAACTTCTAGACAAAGCACAGCTTTCCAAAAACCAACCACAACACAGGAAGAAGAAGAAACTACTTCTCAGAAACCAATTACCCAAAAAACAACAAAGTTTTCAACATCCACTGGTGAAGTAAGTTCTACAAGAAAGTCATCAACTGCATCTGGTGAAGTGACATCTGCTTACAAAACATCCAGACTGAGCACAGCTTTCCAAAAATCAACAACAAAGCCTGAAGAAGAAGAAACTACTTCTCAGACACCAATTACCCAAAAAACAACAAAGTTTTCAACATCCGCTGGTGAAGTAAGTTCTACAAGAAAATCTTCAACTGCATCTGGTGAAGTAACATCTGGTTACAAAACTTCTACACAGAGCACAGCTTTCAAAAAATCAACCCCAACGCCAGAAGAAGAAACTACTTCTCAGAAACCAATTACCCAAAATACAACAAAGTTTTCAACATCCACTGGTGAAGTAAGTTCTACAAGAAAATCTTCAACTGCATCTGGTGAAGTGACATCTGCTTACAAAACATCCAGACTGAGCACAGCTTTCCAAAAATCAACAACAAAGCCTGAAGAAGAAGAAACTACTTCTCAGAAACCAATTACCCAAAAAACAACAAAGTTTTCAACATCCGCTGGTGAATTAACTACTACCAGAAAGTCTTCAACTGCATCTGGTGAAGTGACATCTGCTTACAAAACATCCAGACTGAGCACAGCTTTCCAAAAATCAACAACAAAGCCTGAAGAAGAAGAAACTACTTCCCAGACACCAATTACCCAAAAAACAACAAAGTTTTCAACATCCGCTGGTGAAATAACTTCTACAAGAAAATCTTCAACTGCATCTGGTGAAGTGACATCTGCTTACAAAACTTCTAGACAAAGCACAGCTTTCCAAAAACCAACCACAACACAGGAAGAAGAAGAAACTACTTCTCAGAAACCAATTACCCAAAAAACAACAAAGTTTTCAACATCCACTGGTGAAGTAAGTTCTACAAGAAAGTCATCAACTGCATCTGGTGAAGTGACATCTGCTTACAAAACATCCAGACTGAGCACAGCTTTCCAAAAATCAACCCCGACGCCAGAAGAAGAAACTACTTCTCAGAAACCAATTACCCAAAAAACAACAAAGTATTCAACATCCGCTGGTGAAGTAAGTTCTACAAAGGAATCTTCAACTGCAACTGGTGAAGTGACATCTGCTTACAAAACTTCTAGACAGAGCACAGTTTTTCAAAAATCAACCACAACAACAGAAGAAGAAGGAGAAACTACTTCTCAGAAACCAATTACCCAAAAAACAACAAAGTTTTCAACATCTGCTGGTGAAGTAACTACTACCAGAAAGTCGTCAACTGCATCTGGTGAAGTGACATCTGCTTACAAAACATCCAGACTGAGCACAGCTTTCCAAAAATCAACCACAAGGCCAGAAGAAGAAGAAACAACTTCTCAGAAACCAGTTACCCAAAAAACAACATTTTCAACATCCCCTGGTGAAGTAAGTTCTACAAGAAAATCTTCAACTGCATCTGGTGAAGAGACATCTGCTTACAAAACATCGAGACTGAGCACAGCTTTCCAAAAATCAACAACAAAGCCTGAGGAAGAAGAAACTACTTCTCAGAAACCAATTACCCAAAAAACAACAAAGTTTTCAACATCTGCTGGTGAAGTAACTACTACCAGAAAGTCGTCAACTGCATCTGGTGAAGTGACATCTGCTTACAAAACATCCAGACTGAGCACAGCTTTCCAAAAATCAACCACAAGGCCCGAAGAAGAAGAAACAACTTCTCAGAAACCAGTTACCCAAAAAACAACAACATTTTCAACATCCGCTGGTGAAGTAAGTTCTACAAGAAAATCTTCAACTGCATCTGGTGAAGTGACATCTGCTTACAAAACTTCTAGACAGAGCACAGCTTTCCAAAAACCAACCACAACACAGGAAGAAGAAGAAACTACTTCTCAGAAACCAATTACCCAAAAAACAACAAAGTTTTCAATATCCACTGGTGAAGTAAGTTCTACAAGAAAGTCATCAACTGCATCTGGTGAAGTGACATCTGCTTACAAAACATCCAGACTGAGCACAGCTTTCCAAAAATCAACAACAAAGCCCGAAGAAGAAGAAACTACTTCTCAGACACCAATTACCCAAAAAACAACAAAGTTTTCAACATCCGCTGGTGAAGTAAGTTCTACAAGAAAATCTTCAACTGCATCTGGTGAAGTAACATCTGGTTACAAAACTTCTACACAGAGCACAGCTTTCAAAAAATCAACCCCAACGCCAGAAGAAGAAACTACTTCTCAGAAACCAATTACCCAAAATACAACAAAGTTTTCAACATCCGCTGGTGAAGTAAGTTCTACAAGAAAATCTTCAACTGCATCTGGTGAAGTAACATCTGGTTACAAAACTTCTACACAGAGCACAGCTTTCAAAAAATCAACCCCAACGCCAGAAGAAGAAACTACTTCTCAGAAACCAATTACCCAAAATACAACAAAGTATTCAACATCCGCTGGTGAAGTAAGTTCTACAAGAAAATCTTCAACTGCATCTGGTGAAGTGACATCTGCTTACAAAACATCCAGACTGAGCACAGCTTTCCAAAAATCAACAACAAAGCCTGAAGAAGAAGAAACTACTTCTCAGAAACCAATTACCCAAAAAACAACAAAGTTTTCAACATCCGCTGGTGAAGTAACTACTACCAGAAAGTCTTCAACTGCATCTGGTGAAGTGACATCTGCTTACAAAACATCCAGACTGAGCACAGCTTTCCAAAAATCAACCACAAAGCCTGAAGAAGAAGAAACTACTTCTCAGACACCAATTACCCAAAAAACAACAAAGTTTTCAACATCCGCTGGTGAAATAACTTCTACAAGAAAATCTTCAACTGCATCTGGTGAAGTAACATCTGGTTACAAAACTTCTAGACAGAGCACATCTTTCAAAAAATCAACCCCGACGCCAGAAGAAGAAACTACTTCTCAGAAACCAATTACCCAAAAAACAACAAAGTATTCAACATCCGCTGGTGAACTAAGTTCTACAAAGGAATCTTCAACTGCATCTGGTGAAGTGACATCTGCTTACAAAACTTCTAGACAGAGCACAGTTTTTCAAAAATCAACCACACACAAAACTACTTCTCAGAAGTTTTCAACAGAAGAAAGTTCTACAAGAAAATCTTCAAACTACTTCTCAGAAACCAATTACCCAAAAAACAACAAAGTTTTCAACATCTGCTGGTGAAGTAACTACTACCAGAAAGTCGTCAACTGCATCTGGTGAAGTGACATCTGCTTACAAAACTTCTAGACAAAGTACAGCTTTCCAAAAATCAACCACAAAGCATGAAGAAGAAGAAACTACTTCTCAGACACCAATTACCCAAAAAACAACAAAGTTTTCAACATCCGCTAGTGAAATAACTTCTACAAGAAAATCTTCAACTGCATCTGGTGAAGAGACATCTGCTTACAAAACATCGAGACTGAGCACAGCTTTCCAAAAATCAACAACAAAGCCTGAGGAAGAAGAAACTACTTCTCAGAAACCAGCAACTCAAAAAACAACACAGTTTACAACATCCGCTGGTGAAATAACTTCTACAAGAAAATCTTCACTGCATCTGATGAAGTTACATCTGCTTACAAAACTTCTAGACAAAGTACAGCTTTCAAAAAATCAACCACAATGCCAGAAGAAGAAGAAACGACTTCTCAGAACCAATTACCCAAAAAACAACAAAGTATTCAACATCAACTGGTGAATTAACTTCCACAAGAAAATCTTCAACTGCATCTGGTGAAGTGACATCTGCTTATAAAACATCTAGACAGAGTACAGCTTTCCAAAAATCACCCACAGCACCAGAAGAAGAAGAAGAAGAAACTACTTCTCAGAAACCAACTACCCAAAAAACAACAAAGTATTCAACAGCCGCTGGTGAAGTAACTTCCACAAGAAAATCTTCAACTGCATCTGGTGAAGAGACATCTGCTTACAAAACATCGAGACTGAGCACAGCTTTCCAAAAATCAACAACAACACCAGAAGAAGAAGAAGAAACTACTTCTCAGAAACCAATTACCCAAAAAACAACAAAGTTTTCAACATCCGCTGGTGAAGTAACTTCCACAAGAAAATCTTCAACTGCATCTGGTGAAGAGACATCTGCTTACAAAACATCGAGACTGAGCACAGCTTTCCAAAAATCAACAACAAAGCCTGAGGAAGAAGAAACTACTTCTCAGAAACCAGCTACTCAAAAAACAACACAGTTTACAACATCCGCTGGTGAAATAACTTCTACAAACAAATCTTCAACTGCATCTGGTGATGAGACATCTGCTTACAAAACATCGAGACTGAGCACAGCTTTCCAAAAATCAACAACAACACCAGAAGAAGAAGAAGAAACTACTTCTCAGAAACCAATTACCCAAAAAACAACAAAGTTTTCAACATCCGCTGGTGAAGTAACTTCCACAAGAAATTCTTCAACTGCATCTGGTGAAGAGACATCTGCTTACAAAACATCGAGACTGAGCACAGCTTTCCAAAAATCAACAACAAAGCCTGAGGAAGAAGAAACTACTTCTCAGAAACCAGCTACTCAAAAAACAACACAGTTTACAACATCCGCTGGTGAAATAACTTCTACAAGAAAATCTTCAACTGCATCTGGTGAAGTGACATCTGCTTACAAAACTTCTAGACAAAGTACAGCTTTCAAAAAATCAACCACAATGCCAGAAGAAGAAGAAACTACTTCTCAGAAACCAATTACCCAAAAAACAACAAAGTATTCAACATCAACTAGTGAATTAACTTCCACAAGAAAATCTTCAACTGCATCTGGTGAAGTGACATCTGCTTACAAAACATCTAGACAGAGCACAGCTTTCCAAAAATCAACCACAACACCAGAAGAAGAAGTAACCACTACTCAGAAACCAATTACCCAAAAAACAACAAAGTTCACAACAGCCTCTGGTGAAGTAACTTCTACCAGAAAATCTTCAACTGCATCTGGTGAAGTGACATCTGCTTACAAAACATCTAGACAGAGCACAGCTTTCCAAAAATCAACAACAACACCAGAAGAAGAAGAAAAAACTACTTCTCAGAAACCAACTACCCAAAAAACAACAAAGTTATCAACATCCGCTGGTGAAGAAAGTTCTACAAGAAAATCTTCAACTGCATCTGGGGAAGTGACATCTGCTTACAAAACTTCTAGACAGAGCACAGCTTTCCAAAAATCAACCACAACACCAGAAGAAGAAGAAACTACTTCTCAGAAACCAATTACCCAAAAAACAACAAAGTTATCAACATCCGCTGGTGAAGAAAGTTCCACAAGAAAATCTTCAACTGCATCTGGTGAAGAGACATCTGCTTACAAAACTTCTAGACAAAGCACAGCTTTCCAAAAATCAACAACAAAGCCTGAGGAAGAAGAAACTACTTCTCAGAAACCAGTTACTCAAAAAACAACACAGTTTACAACATCCGCTGGTGAAATAACATCTACAAGAAAATCTTTAACTGCATCTGGTGGAGTTACATCTGCTTACAAAACTTCTAGACAAAGTACAGCTTTCCAAAAATCAACCACAACGCCAGAAGAAGAGGAAGAAGAAACTACTTCTCAGAAACCAATTACCCCAAAAACAACAAAGTATTCAACATCCACTGGTGAATTAACTTCCACAAGAAAATCTTCAACTGCATCTGGTGAAGTGACATCTGCTTACAAAACTTCTAGACAGAGCACAGCTTTCCAAAAATCAACCACAACGCCAGAAGAAGAGGAAGAAGAAACTACTTCTCAGAAACCAATTACCCAAAAAACAACAAGGTTTTCAACATCTGCTGGTGAAGTACAGCTTTCCAAAAATCCACAAGAAGAAACTACTTCTCAGAAACCAACTGCATCTGGTGTACAAGAAAATCTTTAACTGCATCTGGTGGAGACATCTGCTTACAAAACTTCTAGACAAAGTACAACTTTCCAAAAATCAACCACAACACCAGAAGAAGAAGAAGAAACTACTTCTCAGAAACCAATTACCCCAAAAACAACAAAGTATTCAACATCCACTGGTGAATTAACTTCCACAAGAAAATCTTCAACTGCATCTGGTGAAGTGACATCTGCTTACAAAACTTCTAGACAAAGTACAGCTTTCCAAAAATCAACCACAACACCAGAAGAAGAAGAAGAAACTACTTCTCAGAAACCAATTACCCAAAAAACAACAAAGTTTTCAACATCTGCTGGTGAAGTAACTTCCACAAGAAAATCTTCAACTGCATCTGGTGAAGTGACATCTGCTTACAAAACTTCTAGACAGAGCACAGCTTTCCAAAAATCAACCACAACACCAGAAGAAGAAGAAGAAACTACTACTCAGAAACCAATTACCCAAAAAACAACAAAGTTCACAACAGCCTATGGTGAAATAATTTCTACCAGAAAGTCTTCAACTGCATCTGATGAAGTGACATCTGCTTACAAAACATCGACACTGAGCACAGCTTTCCAAAAATCAACAACAAAGCCTGAGGAAGAAGAAACTACTTCTCAGAAACCAGTTACTCAAAAAACAACAAAGTTTACAACATCCACGGGTGAAGTAATTTCTACCAGAAAGTCTTCAACTGTGTCTGGTGAAGTGACATCTGCTTATAAAACTTCCAAACAGAGCACAGCTTTCCAAAAATCAACCACAACACCAGAAGAAGAAGAAGAAGCTACTACTCAGAAACCAATTACCCAAAAAACAACTAAGTATTCAACATCTTCTGGTGAAGTAACTTCCACAAGAAAATCTTCAACTGCATCTGGTGAAGAGACATCTGCTTACAAAACTTCTAGACAAAGCACAGCTTTCCAAAAATCAACAACAAAGCCTGAGGAAGAAGAAACTACTTCTCAGAAACCAGTTACTCAAAAAACAACAAAGTTTACAACATCCGCTGGTGAAATAACTTCTACAAGAAAATCTTCAACTGCATCTGGTGAAGTTACATCTGCTTACAAAACTTCTAGACAAAGTACAGCTTTCCAAAAATCAACCACAACACCAGAAGAAGAAGAAGAAGCTACTACTCAGAAACAAGTTACTCAAAAAACAACACAGTTTACAACATCCGCTGGTGAAGAAACTTCCACAAGAAAATCTTCAACTGCATCTGGTGAAGAGACATCTGCTTACAAAACTTCCAGACAGAGCACAGCTTTCCAAAAATCAACCACAACGCCAGAAGAAGAAGAAGAAACTACTTCTCAGAAACCAGTTACCCCAAAAACAACAAATTATTCAACATCCACTGGTGAATTAACTTCCACAAGAAAATCTTCAACTGCATCTGGTGAAGTGACATCTGCTTACAAAACATCTAGACAGAGCACAGCTTTCCAAAAACCAACCACAACACCAGAAGAAAAAGAAACTTCTTCTCAGAAACCAATTACCCAAAAAACAACAAAGTTTTCAACATCCGCTGGTGAAGTGAGTTCTACAAGAAAATCTTCAACTGCATCTGGTGAAGTGACATCTGCTTACAAAACATCTAGACCTAGCACAGCTTTCCAATATTCAACAACAAAGCCTGAAGAAGAAACTACTTCTCAGAAACCAATTACCCCCAAAACCACAAAGTATTCAACATCCACTGGTGAAGTAACATCCACAAGAAAATCTTCAACTGCATCTGGTGAAGTTACATCTGCTTACAAAACTTCCAGACAGAGCACAGATTTCCAAAAATCAACCACAATTCCAGAAGAAGAAGGAACTACTTCTCAGAAACCGATTTCCCAAAAAACAACAAAGTTTTCAACATCCGCTGGTGAAGTAACTTCTACCAGAAAATCCTCAACTGCGTCTGGTGAAGTTACATCTGCTTACAAAACTTCCAGACAGAGCACAGCTTTCCAAAAATCCACCACAATGCCAGAAGAAGAAGGAACTACTTCTCAGAAACCAATTACCCAAAAAACAACAAAGTTTTCAACATCCGCTGGTGAAATTAGTTCTACAAGAAAATCTTCAACTGCGTCTGGTGAAGTGACATCTGCTTACAAAACTTCCAGACAGAGCACAGATTTCCAAAAATCAACCACAATGCCAGAAGAAGAAGGAACTACTTCTCAGAAACCAATTACCCAAAAAACAACAAAGTTTTCAACATCCGCTGGTGAAGTAACTTCTACCAGAAAATCCTCAACTGCGTCTGGTGAAGTTACATCTGCTTACAAAACTTCCAGACAGAGCACAGCTTTCCAAAAATCCACCACAATGCCAGAAGAAGAAGGAACTACTTCTCAGAAACCAATTACCCAAAAAACAACAAAGTTTTCAACATCCGCTGGTGAAATTAGTTCTACAAGAAAATCTTCAACTGCGTCTGGTGAAGTGACATCTGCTTACAAAACTTCCAGGCAGAGCACAGATTTCCAAAAATCAACGACAATGCCAGAAGAAGAAGGAACTAATTCTCAGAAACCAATTACCCAAAAAACAACAAAGTTTTCAACATCCGCTGGTGAAGTAACTTCTACCAGAAAATCTTCAACTGCGTCTGGTGAAGTTACATCTGCTTACAAAACTTCCAGACAGAGCACAGATTTCCAAAAATCAACCACAATGCCAGAAGAAGGAACTACTTCTCAGAAACCAATTACCCAAAAAACAACAACGTTTTCAACATCCGCTGGTGAAGTAACTTCTGCCAGAAAATCTTCAACTGCGTCTGGTGAAGTTACATCTGCTTACAAAACTTCCAGACAGAGCACAGCTTTCCAAAAATCCACCGCAATGCCAGAAGAAGAAGGAACTACTTCTCAGAAACCAATTACCCAAAAAACAACAAAGTTTTCAACATCCGCTGGTGAAGTCAGTTCTACAAGAAAATCTTCAACTGCATCTGGTGAAGTGACATCTGCTTACAAAACTTCCAGACAGAGCACAGATTTCCAAAAATCCACCACAATGCCAGAAGAAGAAGGAACTACTTCTCAGAAACCAATTACCCAAAAATCAACAAAGTTTTCAACATCCGCTGGTGAAGTAACTTCTACCAGAAAATCTTCATCTGCGTCTGGTGAAGTGACATCTGCTTACAAAACTTCCAGACAGAGCACAGCTTTCCAAAAATCCACTACAATGCCAGAAGAAGAAGGAACTACTTCTCAGAAACCAATTACCCAAAAAACAACCATGTTTTCAACAACCGCTGGTGAAGTAAGTTCTACAAGAAAATCATCAACTGCATCTGGTGAAGTGACATCTGCATACAGAACATCTAAACCAAGTACATCTAAGCAGATATCAACTACAAAGCATGGTGAAGAAAAATCTACAACCCAGAAACCGTTTTCAGTAAAAACCACTAAGGTTTCAACTGTATCTGGTGAAGTAACCTCTACTAGAAGCTCTTCAAGTGAATCTGGTAAAGTGACATCTCCTTACATGACATCTAGACCAAGTACAATTGCCCACACATCAATTACAATTCATGAAGAAATCACAACTCATAAGCCAGCCTCAGCAAAATCCACAGTTCAACAAACATTTACAACTGCCAAGTGTATGTGCAACTTTAATGGCATTCTGGTTCCTCCTGGTAAGTACAACAGTGAATAGACAGAGGTTTTTGAGCTATGGATATTTTCATATGCTGTTCGACATTAAGAAATCAGATTCCACTTGGGGGATAATTTGTATAGTATAATAATGAATGCAACAGTGAGTAGGTATTAACCTTGTTAATGGACGAACATGCATACATATTCATTAAACAGTGAACCGCGTTTGAGATATTTCTTTAACCTAACTAGTTTGTATTAAATTCTGGATGTGATCCGCCAACCCACCTAACATTTAGTTCATTATTTCCTCAGAGTTTGACACAGTTTACATCACTAACCAGACCAAAAAGCAACTTTTCTTCATAAAGGAAAAGAATGCATTGTAACAATTGGTTTATAATAAAGAATGTTTTTAAATGTGCACGGTAATGGATTTTCAGGAAATGTAACTTCCATGATACTTTAACATTCTAAAGGCATCATGTCAGTCTACAACATTTTTAAAAGGACTAGATGGGCCGAATGGTTCTTATCTGCCGTCACATTCTATGTTTCTATGTTTCTATGTAACATCTGCTGACCTATCCTTTGCCCAACCCTGACATTTAATACGTAACTTATTTATGTTGTATAGATTTTCATTTAAATATTTTACTACTGTGTTTAATATATAGCTGCCATTTTTATCCTACAGGCAAAGTGTTATATAACACAACTGATAATGCAGGCTGGTGTTTCTTTGCTCGATGCAATGAGACCTGTCAAGTGGAGAGATATAGTGAAGAATGTAACAGTTTTACACAAAAAACCACCACAAGCAGCACTGAAAAAACTGTCACTACCAGAACAGCGACCACCACTTCCCAAAAGTCAAGCGTTACAACCTCACGTGGCATGAGCACTGCAACATCCCAGACAAAGCATTCTGTTACAGCTCCTTTCTCGTCCAGCACCCCAACATATGAGTGCAGTGCACTGATGCCACCTAGAAAGGTACTGACATCAAACTCTAAATATATTAGCAAATTATCAGAAAAGGCAATAGAGCTTCTTTTTATAGAGACTGAGAACAAAAAAGTCTAGAGTGGTATTCAATTGTTTCTAAGAAATTGTTTATCATAAAAGAAAAGGCTTTACTTTTTTTGATATATATATATATATATATATAGATATATATATATTAATTACATGCCATTTTCCAGTGGATTCCATAGAAGGATGGACAATATTCTAAAATCCAAAATATTTAATGTTTTTAAATGGTCTATTGACTTTAGTAAAATTGTGATGGAATGCCAGAACCATCACTGCCAGAACGTAGCTTAATTAATACTCTGATTTACAGAGGTAGACTGTATACCCATATACTGTAAGAGTATTTTTATTTAAGCCGAGAGAGGAGAGAAAATGTTAAAATTCCCTCTTTTTCACAGATGAATGAAACCTGGGCTATAGACAAATGTTCGAATGCAACTTGTGTTGGTCAGAACAATATAGCAATACATAAGATGCAATGCCCATCAGTTCAAAACATTGTCTGCGCCAATCGCTTCCAGCCAAGGAAAATATATGATGAGAGTGGCTGCTGCTATCAAAATCAATGTGAATGTGAGTCCTAATAAATGCCTTAAACAATGTAGAGATTTTATAGAGAATATACAGAAAAGATGCATAAATGTATGTTTATTCTGAGAATCTAATGTCAGCTCTCTGTAACGGTCTAGTTAGGCTTTCTTTTATAAATCCAGTGCCTTTGAGGTAAGTAATTGGGCATAAACAAAAACTAGAAAATGTTAATTTAACTTTCAGTAAATAAGTGAATTTCACTATTAATTTTAATTCTACTAACAGTGCTTATTTTGTAAATCCAGGTCTGTAGCTAATATGTAACTAATTGAACAAAAATGTAATTCTTATTAAATCACATAAATACCCTCCATGCTTCCATGGAGCTCAGACAAACTGTTCATTTTCATTGTTTTCCATTTTCAGGTGTTTGTGGTGGTTGGGGAAACTCGCATTATATCACTTTTGATGGTACTTACTATGATTTCTCTGGACAATGTACCTATGTCCTTGTTCAGCAAATCACACCACTATTTGACCATTTCCGGATTTATATTGATAACTTCAATTGTGACCCCAATGATCCAAACTGTGTGAAGTCACTTCGGATCATGTACAAAAATGATACTGTCGTGCTGGAGTCCCGAGAGGTCAACAACAGACCGGAGAGCGAGGTAGCAATTCTTTTCAATGCTATTAATAAACAGTTTACAATATAAATAAACAATAGACAACAGCTTTTTAAAAGGAGTACTTCAAATGTCTATGCCTGAAAACAGGATGACATATCAAACAAGGTGTTAGCTAACAAGATCAGGCGAGCCCTGCGATAATTAATAATCATCACTTAATGTTTAAAAGGAACTAAATAAGAAAATCAAGTGAGTCTTTTACTACAATTTATTTTTTTTACAGTAAAAGGATAACTTAGAAATTATAATTTTATATATCTTCTACTTGTGAATTCATGTATAAATTGCCCTTCTTCTTAGCATGATACCAATGTTCCTTAGATAAACCTGTATAAGCTGTGCAATTGTGAAAGAGTCATTGAAGTCACATGTTATAATATTAGTTGATTCTTTTATTCAAATATAGCTACACTGTACATTTATACACAATGTATTGATTTGGGTCTCAACCTATTGCACAGAACATTAAGACTCCAAGACATTATTGTATATTAACCTGCTACTTTTGCATAATTTCAGATATACTTCAACGAGGAGAGGGTGTACCCAGCAATAAACAGAAATGGCATTATTATCTCTTACTCTGGTATATTTGTGATTGTGGAGATACCAGAGTTGTCCGCCTACATCTCATTTAATGTCATTAGTTTCACTATTAGGTTGCCATTCAACAAGTTTTCAGGAAATACGGAAGGCCATTGTGGTGAGAACTTAATATATTTAAACATTGTAGTTTATCAATGTCTGATTATTAAATTAACAGAGAACAAGTTGTGTATTTCATTTTATACTAATGTTCTCTTTTCTTTCTAAAGGCAAGTGTTCCAATAACCGTATGGATGATTGCATTCTGCCCAATGGACAAATAGCTCCATCTTGTGCACAGATGGCAGGAGAATGGGGTGCACCAGACCAGGATCCATCTACATGTAGTGCAACTTCCACCATTTCCCCTTCTACTAGCATCCAAACCACATTCCCATTTTCCACCAAGGCATCCACATATTTCTCCACATTGTTATCTACCCTACCTCCAACAATCGCATCATCAGCCATTCCACTTACAGAACTGTCCACTTTATCATCTCCCTATACTGTACCCACTACCACGACAGACGGGCCCTGCGAAACTCCAGAGCTCTGCTCTCTCATCCTTAGCAGGTACTAACTATTTTGTAATTGCTTGCATCATTCTGAGTTAGAACCATCTAAAAAGTAACACATTTGGAACCAAGATTGTAAAACAAGGGACATTTTGACTACTCACGCTCCAGACGTACTACATCCTTTTTATAGCACTAGCTGATTACTATATATACTTCAGGTTTGCAGAAATGCTAATAAGGTTTCTGACTCATAAGATAAACAATAGAACAGGTTCTAAAGGGTCTGTAGCTCTGATGCCTCTGAATTACTACCAGACAAATAATGTGAGGGGTGCTGATACATGTTGTGAGGCAGCTCTGAGAGTAAATCTTCATTTTCCTGCTTTTATTAAAGATGTAATATTAACATGTAAAAATGTATTTAGTGTTATTCATTACAATATTGTCAGGAATTCAAGGTGAATTTAAAATGTAAGGCTAAAATAGCCAATTTGGACCTACATTTAAAATTCACTTCTAATTTACTATGAGTTCTCAACAATTCTCAGTTTATTAAACAATCCTGTTATTTTTGGCATAAAAATAATTTGAGCAGTTTTGCTTTTTCGCTAAAGTCTCTGTTGTTGTTTTTTTCACTAGCGTCTTCAAGCCTTGCCACTCAGCTGTGCCCCCCGATCCATTCTTCCAGTCGTGTGTGTATGATGGATGTAACAAAACCGAGAGTGGAATTCTCTGCTCCAGTTTACAGAGTTATGCCAGAATATGTGCTACAGAAGGCATCTGTATAGATTGGAGGAACAGTACTAATGGCATATGCCGTAAGTTCACCATTATATTACTATGGTTTATTACGAATATGTTAAGGAGATCCTCCAGACAGACAGCCTCTAAAACTGCCTAATGCAAGGCCACCAGTCTTTCATTGACAAATATCATTTTTTAGATTATTATTATTAGTTTAATTTATAAAGCACCAACATTTTTCTTGTAATGTACACAACAGTTGATTGCTGATAGACATACTCTCTGCATTAACCTTTATATTGCGTATAGCAAAATGAAAATAAGGAGATAAACAAGTTTATTTGCACACTTTATTTCATTTGATTATATTAAACTTTTTCTCATTTCCCTCTGAAAACAGCCAAGAATTGCCCTGAAGGCACAGTTTATAAACCATGTGCTGCTCCAACAGAACCTACCTGTAACTCCAAGTAAGTGAATTCACTGAATTCTGTTGTGTATTTAATAGGTACATTTTTCTTATATCACTTCATGTCTAATATGACTGTCATTGTAGATACAATGAAATGTTCACACAGAACAACAAGCATGATATTGTGGAAGGATGCTTTTGTCCTGAGGGTACCACCAAATTCAACACAATGTCGAGCATATGTGTCACCTCTTGTGGTATGTTACCGTTGACTAAGTATTTTATAGTCATGTACCTATTTAAAGGGGATTCAAAATCCTTTTACCAGATAATAGCCGTGTGATAAATAAACTATTATTAAAAATAACTAACCTTGAACATGGGTAAGAACAGGTGCCTGGTAACCACAAAGTCTGTCGAATGACCAGTGCTTTTTTTTTTTAGGTTGCACTGGCCCTGATGGAATGCCTAAAGAGGTAATGTAATGTGCTCTATATGAAGATGAAATGGGAACTCTACAAAATGTATGTGTCCACCTAGTAACGTTAAATCTTTGCTTTGTTTCCATTCTAGCCGGGAGAAGAATGGGAAAGTAACTGTCAAACATGTCAATGTGATAACCAGACAATGAGTGTGCAGTGTACACCAAAAGTATGTTCTTCACCTACTCCTAATGTCTGCACAGAGGAAGGATCCATGCCAGTATCTGTGCCCGACCTTGCCAACCCCTGCTGCATGGTGACAGAATGCAGTAAGTGCTTGACACGTTTATTCCTGGCCTATTGTTGTGGCTTACATGATAAATGCCTATGAGGCTTGGTGGTGGTCTGCCAGGGCTGGTTAGTAACTAAGCTACGGCTGATAATTAACACTTACCTTTCTACAGGGTGCAACCTCAGCCTGTGTATAAGTGAGAAGCCTGTTTGTGCACCTGGCACTGAAGCTGTGTCACATTATAACGAAGGAGCCTGCTGCCCTGCCTACACATGTGGTATGTATTGTAATAATTATATGTTTTATCATTTCATTACATGTTGGGGAGGCTGCTTGCTATGTACTTAATAGAACGTCTTACCCAAGTTCTAGGTTAACCTCTGATGTGTTTCTGTCTTCACAGAGCCCAAACCTGTGTGTGTGTATAATGAAACCGAGTACCAGGTAACACATCTAATATGTTGTGTCTTCTGTTGCATGCAAAGATAGATATAAATGAAATTGGTTTCCTTCAATCCAATGAGAAATCTAACTGCCAGTTTGGAGTCTAAAAGTCTAGGGTTTGTTTGTTTTTGCCTTCTTTTGGATCACAAGCAGCAGTATCAATATGTAAAAAAACTGAAAATAATGAACCTGTCTTTTTTCAGTCGATATTACTACGTACTTGGTAATCTATATCCTATCATTTTATACAACGGTTCCCATCTGCTTGTGAATTCATGTATATTTTGCCTTTCTTCTTAGCCTGGTGCTATTGTTCCTTCAACTAATGCGTGCGAGCAGTGTAACTGTGAAATCACCATGAACAATCTTTCCATCTCCTGCACGCCCCGTGTGTGTCAAATAAATTGCGCAGAGGTAATGGTCTAAATGAGCCACAGATGAAGTGGACCCCACTGCGTGACTACTCTAATGATCTTCATGGTCGATGGTAGAATCATTAACTGTGAAAGGTCTAATGGGTTCTTTCTTCCAGGGTAATGTGTATCAAGACATGCCTGGAAAATGCTGCGGAGAGTGTGTACAGACCCACTGTGTCATGGACCTTCCAGATAACTCTACTTATCTGCTAGCGGTAAGCACATTGCACACCATTTTTATAAAGAAATGTTAAAAGTAAAGAGGAAAGAAAGAGAAATAGATAAAAAATATAAACTATAAAAGAGGAAGGCGTGGTTAGAAATAAGTCGATATTGAGGACTTGAGATGGAGGAGTATAAATAAAGGAAAAGTGTTAGAAAGTGTGTGGATGAGAAAAAAAGAGTACTAAATAGAGATACCTAGCAGTGGTGGGGTGAGTGGTGAAAAGGAGAGCATAAATAAAGAGCAATGTAAAGAATCGGGGGAAGATGCACACATGAACCTCTCAGGCTGAACCTTTTAGGCTGAGTGAATAGATAATCAAACTAGTTAATTAGATAACGTGGAATTACCAGGGAGAGTATGGAGGTGTATAGTAGCATGACACTGAGAAAACTAGATGTAAATTTTAAAGTGGGCTAGCTACTAACTGAAGAAGTGAGTGAATGACCAAACCATTAACTAAGCAAAAGTCCAAAATGTTTCTTTGTTTAAATGATGCCTGGTAGCCTTGTTGACGACTTGATATAAATGAGTTAGTGGATTGTATATTCAGCATGGGAAATAATAACTAAACCAAGGTGGGCAGATACTCGTATGTCCGCTATGGATAAATAACAATTAAGGTGAGCAGTATAGTTAGTGATATATTCAGTGTGCTAGATAATTAGGTCATTGCGTATAGTGGCCCATATTTACAGTCAATGAGATCCAAATGTCAACTAATGACCAAATGCCCCTATAATGACATTTTATTTTCTTCTCAGCCTGGAGAGATTTGGTCACCTCCTGGTGATAACTGCACACATTACGAGTGTGTGAAGAAAAATGACAAGTTGTTCCCTATGGCATCCAAAATGTCCTGCCCCAAAATCGACCTGGATAATTGTCTCAATGTGAGTATCTACCCAAAGAGTTGTTAGATGTTCAAAGGTAGATTTTGTGTGAGGCAAGAATGTCCTTAATCGCCAACCATTCTGTGTTGGTGGCCAACTAGGTTGCATGGTCATTGTCCATAGTTCAATTTGCTTATTTCCTGTACCTCTTGCATATGTAATTAGTTATGGTACATTGGTGCACTGTGTAAGATGCATTGTTGACATTTTATTTTGGTGAAGAAAGAGAATGGTTACTTGTATCACCAATGCACAGATGGTTATTAAACGCCTATCCATATTTGCAAAATGAATGTCAAAAGTCAAGGAAGGTAAGTCAAACTATGCAAATTGCTCAAAGTTTTTAAAGTTATTTTCTGTTACTTTATTTCAGGGAACAATTCAAATGGACGACACTGGATGCTGTCAGACCTGTAAGCATTATTAAACATAAATTTTGTTACAATACTTTTAGTACATTAGAAAATCAAGAGTGTTGAGCTTTTTGGTCCAATACCAGTTAAAATGTGTTAATAGGTATTTGGGAATTAAGTTAGGGAATTATTTCCCCAATCAGCCTCTGTAAGATTGTCACAGCATTTCCACTAAATAATATATATAATAATAAAATAATAATATATTTTATTATTATATATATAATAATCCAGACAGTTTTTTCTGTTTAGTGCAGTCGTATCTATATTGCCATAAATTACCCTTGAAATAGTCCCTACGTCTGATGAATACCTCCTAAATTACTCAGGCTTTCCACAACTCTATGGCATTGACCTCTGCTGAGTTTTCCGTCCTCCTGAACGCTCTGTTAACTTCCTCTAGTTTCCCCACTCCAATCAGTCTTACATGTTCTCTCATTTCTTCAAAGGTGTCCAAAAACCCACAAAGTGTCAGAAGACAAAAACAGAAAGCATCATCCTTCGAGATGGCTGTACGTCCCTTTCCCCAGTGACAATGTCCTACTGCTCAGGCAGCTGTGACAGTTCCTCCAAGTAAGTGAATTAACACATCCCCAACATTCTCTCAATTCAGTGGGAGTTTTATTTGCCTTGTCAGTGATATTGTATTGGAAAAGTCTGTCTAACTGTGATATGAATACATCATTACTATAAAATAACAACATACTAAATCAACCAAAAAGAAAGATTTGGCAAGAAGGAAATAAAATAAAAATAGCATGGAATAACAAATGTAATTTAATAGCCAACTCATACTAAGGTGGAACAGATGTGTTGTTTGTCTCCTGTTTTAGTTATTTAAGCACTGTTCGAGGTAAACCTATTAAATGAGGAATTGTAGAGAATTGACAAGTTTATTAAAAGAGTTAGACCAGAATAGCCAGGCTGATAAAATTCTGGGTTTTTGTTTTGAATTTTTATTTTTAGATATTTTAGCTTAACATTCACTATTAACTTGTCAGTAGTCCACAAGTCTATAATTGTGGAGAAACCCACACGTTCTTTACATTTGGCTTCATGCAATCACTTACCCCATCTTCTCTACAGATATTCGGTAACTGCACAAGCCATGCTGCGCCAATGTACGTGCTGCCAGGAAACTAAAACGGAAAATGTGACCATCGACTTAAGCTGTCCCGCTGGTGTAACCAGGAAATATTCCTTCATAAACGTCATTAGCTGTGCCTGCGTTGATACCCACTGCAAGGAATATGAGACGGGGGACAAAATAAGTAGCGAAGATACTAACTAGTAGAACACTTCTAAGGAAGAGAGTGTCAATTCAAACTAACAAAAGCAGAGAATTGATAGATATACAAGGCAGACTTGTAATAAATTCTTAGCAGTGAGCAAGATTCAGGGATAATATAAATTGCACAAAAACATTGTGAAATACTGAAATTAAACCTAAGCACCTTAAAATGAGAATGTATCTAAATATCAGTATGGTTACGCTGAGTCAGAACTGAAGCTTGCAAACTAGTTTACACCAAATCTTTAAATTATCTTAATGCCTATTTCATTTTAATCTGTGTCTGAAATGTTCATTATGTGTGATATATATTTAAAAAATCAATTAAATTAATTTTAAGCATGTAAACAAGTGTGTTACTTTGCCTTTTTGGATATATATGAATAAACAAGCACTCATCATAGAAACATAGAAACATAGAAACAACGAAACATAGACACATAGAAATATAGACACATAGAAAACATAGAAACATAGAAACATAGAAAACATAGAAACATGGAAACATAGAAAACATAGAAACATAGAAACACAGAAAACATAGAAACATAGAAACATAGAAACATAGAAAACATAGAAAACATGCAAATATAGAAAACATAGCAATATAAAAACATAGAAACACAGAAAACATAGAAACATAGAAAACATAGAAAACATACAAATATAGAAAACATAGCAATATAAAAACATAGAAAACATAGAAACATTGACACATAGAAAACATAGAAACATAAAAAAATAGAAACATAGAAACATAGAAAACATAGAAACAAAGAAACATAGACACATAGAAAACATAGAAACATGGAAACATAGAAAACATAGAAACCTAGAAACATGGAAACATGGACACATAGAAAACATAGAAACAAAGAAAATATAGAAACATAGAAACATGGAAACATAGAAAACATAGAAACATAGAAAACATAGAAACATAGTAAACATCGAAACATAGAAACACAGAAAACATAGAAACATAGAAACATAGAAACACAGAAAACATAGAAACATAGAAAACATAGAAACATTGAAACACAGAAAACATAGAAACATAGAAAACATACAAATATAGAAAACATAGCAATATAAAAACATAGAAACATAGAAACATAGAAAACATAGAAACAAAGAAACATAGACACATAGAAAACATAGAAAACATAGAAAACATACAAATATAGAAAACAGCAATATAAAAACATAGAAACATAGAAAATATAGAAAACATAGAAACATAGACACATAGAAAACATAGAAACATGGAAACATAGAAAACATAGAAACAAAGAAACATAGACACATAGAAAACATAGAAACATGGAAACATAGAAACATGGAAACATAGAAAACATAGGAACATAGAAACACAGAAAACATGGAAACATAGAAAACATAGAAACATTGAAACACAGAAAACATAGAAACATAGAAAACATAGAAAACATACAAATATAGAAAACATAGCAATATAAAAACAGAGAAACAGAGAAAACATAGAAACATAGAAACAAAGAAACATAGACACTTAGAAAACATAGAAACATGGAAACATAGAAAACATAGAAACAGAAACATAGAAAACATAGAAACATAGAAACATAGAAAACATAGAGGCATGGAAACATAGAAAACATAGAAACATAGAAACACAGAAAACATAGAAACATTGAAACATAGAAACACAGAAAACATAGAAACAGAAAACAAAGAAAACATAGAACACATACAAATATTGAAAACATAGCAATATAAAAACATAGAAACATAGAAACATAGAAAACATAGAAACATAGAAAACATAGAAAACAGAAACATAGAAACATAGAAAGATAGAAACATAAAAACACAGAAAACATAGGAACATAGAAACATAGAAATATAGAAACATAGAAAACATAGAAACATAAACACATAGAAAACATAGAAACATAGAAAACATAAAAAACTTAGAAACATAGAAACAGAGAAACATTGAAACATAGAAACACAGAAAACATAGAAACATAGAAACATAGAAACAGAAAACATAGAAACATGGAAACATAGAAAACATAGAAACACAGAAAACATAGAAACATAGAAACATAGAAAACATAGAAAACATACAAATATAGAAAACATAGCAATATAAAAACATAGAAACATAGAAAACATAGAAACATAGAAACAAAGAAACATAGACACATAGAAAACATAGAAACATGGAAATATAGAAAACATAGAAACAGAAACATAGAAAACATAGAAACATAGAAACATAGAAAACATAGAAACATGGAAACATAGAAAACATAGAAACATAGAAACATAGAAAACATAGAAACATAGAAACACAGAAAACAAAGAAAACATAGGACACATACAAATATTGAAAACATAGCAATATAAAAACATAGAAACATAGAAAACATAGAAACATAGAAACAAAGAAACATAGACACATAGAAAACATAGAAACATGGAAACATAGAAAAAACATTGAAACAGAAACATAGAAAACATAGAAACATAGAAACATAGAAAACATAGAAACACAGAAAACATAGAAACATAGAAAACATAGAAAACATGCAAATATAGAAAACATAGCAATATAAAAACATAGAAACATAGAAACATAGAAAACATAGAAACATAGAAAACATAGAAAACATACAAATATAGAAAACATAGCAATATAAAAACATAGAAACATAGAAAACATAGAAAACATACAAATATAGAAAACACCAATATAAAAACATAGAAACATAGAAAATACAGAAAAATTTGAAAACATACACACATAGAAAACATAGAAACATGGAAACATAGAAACATAGAAAACATAGAAACAAAGAAACATAGACACATAGAAAACATAGAAACATGGAAACATAGAAAATATAGAAACATAGAAAACATAGAAACATAGAAACACAGAAAACATAGAAACATAGAAAACATAGAAACATTGAAACACAGAAAACATAGAAACACAAAAAACATAGAAACATAGAAAACATAGAAAACATAGCAATATAAAAACATAGAAACATAGAAACATAGAAACAAAGAAACATAGACACATAGAAAACATAGAAACATGGAAACATAGAAACATAGAAACATAGAAAACATAGAAACATGGAAACATAGAAAACATAGAAACATAGAAACACAGAAAACATAGAAACATAGAAAACATAGAAACATAGAAACACAGGAAACATAGAAACACAGAAAACAAAGAAAACATAGAACACATACAAATATTGAAAACATAGCAATATAAAAACATAGAAACATAGAAAACATAGAAACATAGAAACAAAGAAACATAGACACATAGAAAACATAGAAACATGGAAACATAGAAAAAACATAGAAACAGAAACATAGAAAACATAGAAACATAGAAACACAGAAAACATAGAAACATAGAAAACATAGAAACATAGAAACACAGAAAACATAGAAACATAGAAACACAGGAAACATAGAAACACAGAAAACAAAGAAAACATAGAACACATACAAATATTGAAAACATAGCAATATAAAAACATAGAAACATAGAAAACATAGAAACATAGAAACAAAGAAACATAGACACATAGAAAACATAGAAACATGGAAACATAGAAAAAACATAGAAACAGAAACATAGAAAACATAGAAACATAGAAACACAGAAAACATAGAAACATAGAAAACATAGAAACATAGAAACACAGAAAACATAGAAACATAGAAAACATAGAAACAGAAAACATAGAAACATGGAAACATAGAAAACATAGAAACAGAAACATAGAAAACATAGAAACATAGAAACATAGAAAACATAGAAACATGGAAACATAGAAAACATAGAAACACAGAAAACATAGAAACATAGAAAACATAGAAACATAGAAACACAGGAAACATAGAAACACAGAAAACAAAGAAAACATAGAACACATACAAATATTGAAAACATAGCAATATAAAAACATAGAAACATAGAAACATAGAAAACATAGAAACATAGAAAACATAGAAAACAGAAACATAGAAACATAGAAAGATAGAAACATAAAAACACAGAAAACATAGGAACATGGAAACATGGAAACATAGAAAACATAGAAACATAAACACATAGAAAACATAGAAACATAGAAAACATAAAAAACTTAGAAACATAGAAACACAGAAACATAGAAACATAGAAACACAGAAAACATAGAAAACATAGAAACATAGAAACATAGAAACAGAAAACATAGAAACATGGAAACATAGAAACACAGAAAACATAGAAACATAGAAAACATAGAAACATAGAAAACATACTAATATAGAAAACACCAATATAAAAACATAGAAACATAGAAAATATAGAAAACATAGAAAAAATACAAACATAGAAACATAGACACATAGAAAACATAGAAACATGGAAACATAGAAACATAGAAAACATAGAAACAAAGAAACATAGACACATAGAAAACATAGAAACATGGAAACATAGAAAACATAGAAACATAGAAACAGAAAACATAGAAACATGGAAACATAGAAAACATAGAAACATAGAAACACAGAAAACATAGAAACATAGAAAACATAGAAACATTGAAACACAGAAAACATAGAAACACAGAAAACATAGAAACATAGAAAACATAGAAAACATACAAATATAGAAAACATAGCAATATAAAAACATTTAAACATAGAAAACATAGAAAACATAGAAAACATACAAATATAGAAAACAGCAATATAAAAACATAGAAACATAGAAAATATAGAAAACATAGAAACATAGAAACATAGAAACATAGACACATAGAAAACATAGAAACATGGAAACATAGAAAACATGGAAACATAGAAACATGGAAACATAGAAAACATAGAAACATAGAAACACAGAAAACATGGAAACATAGAAAACAAAGAAACATTGAAACACAGAAAACATAGAAACATAGAAAACATACAAATATAGAAAACATAGCAATATAAAAACATAGAAACAGAGAAAACATAGAAACATAGAAACAAAGAAACATAGACACTTAGAAAACATAGAAACATGGAAACATAGAAAACATAGAAACATAGAAAACATAGAAACATAGAAACATAGAAAACATAGAAACATGGAAACATAGAAAACATACAAACATAGAAACACAGAAAACATAGAAACATAGAAACATAGAAACACAGAAAACATAGAAACAGAAAACAAAGAAAACATAGAACACATACAAATATTGAAAACATAGCAATATAAAAACATAGAAACATAGAAACA